TGAACAAAAGAATAGTGTGATGCAGAGTGCTTGTGATCCATGGCTTAAACTTCTCATATACACTATCTAACCACATACTAGCTATAAGAGCAGATGTGTGTCGTAACGTAGTCAGCGTACTACCGGACATATGATCCGAGACAAAAAGTCGTTAGTGACTTCTCCAGGATCATTACATGTCTGGTCGTACTGAGGTCTGAACACACCACTTTGTGGATATATGTCGAACAACATAGCCGCGACGGCATAGAGGTAGGAATTTGGACTCCATCGCCACGGACTATGGCAGATGCTAGCCAGAGATCGTCATAGATCGCGTCAAGACGCCTTCACAACGTCCTTCCTGTCCACCACAAACATTGTTGATATACGATCAAAGACCATATATCAATAATGTGTCGTTATAATATATGAACTACTCTGTTATTATATTTCTGGATAATTATGTAAAAGTATGCTGAAGAAATGTGTCCGAAAATAGATTAAATAAAGTACTCTTCTATGATTAACAGCAGTAGTTACATCGTGTTTCATATTTTAATCCCACAAGGACTGCGGCAACAGCTTTTCTAATCAAATGATTTTCGAATAATACATCGTATTCCATGATACGAAATTACAAGATTATAAAAGTATTTTATTTTTCTCAAAATTAAATAAAAAATTATTTTTATCAGGAAAAAAGAAAATTAAATTTTACTTTTCAGTAATTTATTCTGCTTATCGTTGGTTATTTTTTTATTTAGCTATCGTATGCAACGTTTTGTGGATCATCTTTATAATAAATAGAACTATACGTAGATAACAAGAAGAAAAGAAAAAAAAAAGAAAATATATCACCACCGAAAAAAATTGTAATATGAAAGAAAAAAAAAATAGTTATAATATACAATAAACAATAAAGATATTAAATAAACAACTACATAGGACTTTGTGCTATTTGAACACGACGTGTTGGTTTTCGTTGCGGTGTTGTTGTTTCTGATGTTCGTCCAAATTTAACTCCACGTCTTGTTACTTTACTTTGACGATGTACAACTGATTGAGTACCAAGAATATTTGCAAGTTCATCAAAATCAACTTCACCATGATGATCATCTATTATTTGTGTTGTATCATCAACAAAACTATCATTATGATCATAATTATCATCATTCATTGTCATATTTGGTAATTGAGAATAAATATCTTCAATTGGAATAGGTGGTGGTGGTGGACGAAAATGAACTTTTGGACTTTTTATACTTTTTAAATATACACTTGTCATATCAATATTTGCCATTTGTGTTAGAACTTGTCGATCATCAATAAAATGATCATGTTCATTTAGACTATTATTATTATGATCATCATCATCATCATTTTCATCTTCATCAGATGATATTGTGTTAGATAATGTTTCATCAGCAATAGCTTCACGATCAAGAAAATTTGATGCAAGTCGTCGATGAAAATGTCGTTCTTGTTGTTTAATGTTGAGTTCTTGTGTACTTTTAGATTTTTTTCTTTCAAGTATATCAGGTGTTGTTGTTGAAAGACATCGAACACGTTTTTTAGATGGAACTCGTCGAATGGGTGTTTCAAATTTATCGGAACATGTTGTTATATTATTTTTATTTGTTGTTTCACATTTAGTACTAAAATAGAATTTGAAAAAAAAGACAATAAATCTCATTAATGTCAACCTTTATAGTGCAACACGAAACATAGACTTGAATTCGATTATAAAGAATCAATTCGAACCCATATATCATCTTACATTCGATAGTTAGTAATTATGACTAAACTAAACATGAATAAATTGAACACAAAAAACGAGAATTGAACTTTTTTTTTTCTTGAATTTAAAAATGTACTCGTATGATTTGTTATCATAATGAGTAACTTTAGAAGGTCTATCTATAACAAAAAATATAGTTGTCCAGGTATAAGATATTACAGTAACTTCGTTTTCGAAATGATTCATTATTTACTCCATTAATTCATCAAGATAGAAACTGATGCCGTTAAAAACAAAAAAAAATGTTCGAATATTATTAACATTAAAATTAATGTTTATAAATAAACTTGATTTTTCTGTTGATTTATATCACATTTTTCAAGTATTAAATTATATTGTCTATCATTTCTTCCTAATAATTATCATCTGTAATGTTTTATATGAGCGATTAAAGACTAACGAGGGTTGTACCCAAAGCGTTTTCCGGAAAAAACCAAAATGAAGAGTTTTACAGTACCCGACAAAAGTATCCCCCCCATTGGATCTCAGTCACAATATGAGCTGTAGATCTGAAAACTAGTGTACTTATAGTTCTCAACGAATGCTGATCAACGACAACACCCGCAACCAGATTGCATGAAGTATAAGAAAGTTATAATGTATGTTTTCTGTCTGCATTGTGGACTTCAAAACCCAGGAACGGAGAGATTTTATGAGTCGGGGCTAGTTTCATTTTGTA